CCCACTAGACAAATGTAGTTGTAACAAAACTCACCAGTGCAAGTGGCAAGCCATGTTGGAAGCAAGTGCGAGGAGGTCAAGAAATACATGAGCATGGACCTTAAACCTTACAGAGCCAGAAGGAGGAAAGAGTGATGGGATGCCCATGGAGTTATTGCAAGGGTTGTCCTCAGTGCCCGCTGCTGTCCTGCCTCTCTGGTCCAGCAATTCACCTGGCTTTTCAATATTGGCAGTCTGACCTACTTAAGGCTAAATGCAAACTATGCACACGTGCATTTGTAGGAATGTGAATAGTTGCAATCCTTCCCACTTTATCACTTTTAAACCAACAGAAAACTCTGGCAAACTCTTGATAAGTAACATTTTCATATCTTTTAACAGTTTTATAATAGCTGTTCTTTCTGTGGTAGAGAATGTATCTTGATGCTCTCAGAAAAAATATCGAATGTTGCATAATGCAAAATCCATATAGTCAAATTAAAATTAACACCTGGTGCCAAATAACTGTTTTGAGAGCACACATGTTTTAACATTCAGTTTGAGTACAAAAACTTCAGAGGAGATCCATTATACTCTCCATGGATTAGAATGATATACAGCATTTAGAGCTACATATGTGCCCTTTGCAAGGCTACGCTGCATATCCCAGGGCATTTGAGGCATTACACAATAAAGTTAACCCTGAGCCTATCTCTGCTGGGTAATGGCCTACACCTGCCAGACATCTAGGGAAAAAAATAACAATATGATACTTAGATGGGATTGCTTTTAGAAGGCCTCTCATTTTTGCAGAAGATATTTCAATATGTAGACAGTAACATTTGTAATTCAATCCTGCTGTCTAGCAGAACTGAGCATCAGAATGATTTTTAAAAGAAGCTGTTGCATGCTGTTTTTCAACTCAGTTATTACGGTCTTAATTTGCCATATTATGCATAAACAAATGTAGAGTCAAGTCTTCTTACTTAACATTAATACTAGCTGATGGCAATGAAAGAATATTTAAATGAATTATTTTAATGTTCATGGACCTAAGCAATCACTGACTTACAGTATAAAGGATATATTAATATATTAATTAACTGTTAATTAATTAATTAACTGTTGGCTATTATCTTCATGGATGCACTTTCAGCTATGCTGAAAGACCACATACTTTTTTGTTTTTCTCTTAAAAAGAGGGACATTGCTTTAAGAAGGATGTCTGGGGCTGTAGTTATTGATAATGAATGTGATTCTCCAAAGTGTTGTTTGTAAGAACATCAGAAGAGCCACATGAGTTTAAACGAAGGGTCCATCTAGTTCAGTGCTCTGTCTCCAGCAGTGGTGACAAGTGGATGCCTCGGGACTCAGGCAACATATGTAATAACTTCTGCTTCAAGCCTCCAACTATTTTCCATTCTGGGGACTTCCTGAGCTATTGGGTTTTGTCTGTTTAGCTCTTTCCATGTACATGTGGAGTTTCCCTTTGAATGTGTGTCCCTCTTACATTCACATCCTTTGGCAAGGAATCCCATAGGTCATCACATATTTCTAGGAAGTCTTACTCTTTTGTTTGCTTTGAACCTGACTCTCACTTTTGTCTTTTTATGGTGTTTAGTACTTTTATTAGAAGAGAGTAAATGGTCGGTCTCTACCCACTCATGATTCCGTATGCCTTTTTCATAGCATTTCCACACCTACGCTACTCAGTCGTTGTTCATTACAGCCTTTTGATCACCTTTGTTACCCTTCTCTGAACCTTTTCCCATTTTAACATACTCTTTTTGTGATGAGGCAACCAGAACTGCACAAAGAATTCAATGTTCAGGCAAGCCATGAATTTGTATGACATCAGGATGTTTTCTGATTTGTTCTCTAATCCTTTTCTAATAATTCCTAAGTTTTTATTTGGTTTTTTGACTGCTGCTGAGCAGTGAGATGATGTTTTCATGGAACTATCTATCATATACCGCTTTAAATTAATCTTCTTTGTTGTATTTTACCTGCCATTTTATTGCCTTGACATGCTGTCTTGTAAAGACCTTCTGCCATCCTTCACAGTCTGTCCTCATCCTTATCACCTTGAACACCTTCAGATCACCAGAAAACTTTGTCACAGGACTGCTCAACCACTTTTCCAACTAATTTCTGAGTATGTTGAACAGTATGGATCCCAGCACAGACACCTTGCGGAACACCTCTGGCGACTTCTCACTATTGCAAGGACTGAACATCTACTGCTAATGTTTGTTTGTTCTCTTTTAGTCAATTTTTATCTGTGCAAGACCTTCCCTCTCTCCTAACTGCTTGGGTGCAGGCACATAGATGTACTTTCATTTCTCTAATGCTCTGGAGAAATGCTTGGTTATTAAATTAATTATTAAAATGTAAAAAAAAAACCCGAACACCATCCCCCCCCAAAAAAAACCCCAAAAAAACAACAAAACCAAACCAGCGCTTTATAGTCTTTGTAAAGGTAAATCCTTCTGTAGTACTGAACCATTTCCATGGTAGATGTAGCCCCTGTATGGTGCTGTGTCCGTGGTAGATTAAAGTCACACTGTACGCATACCAGCCCAGTCCCAGGCAATAAAAATCAGAGTTTTCTGAGAAAGACACTGGAGTCCTAAGAAGCCTCTTCTTCCTGCTGTGGAAGCTGTCTTCAAATTGCCTTTTTCTTCAGGATTATGTTGGATAACGGTAAGATAGGATTTCAAGGACTGGGCTGACGCGTGCAAAAACCACACAGTTATATAGACCAAAAAGAGCATTTTTGCATCTAGTATCTGTTACAGCAGCACTGTAGGCTGTTAGATTAGTTCTAAGCAAACTCCAAACTTTTATTCCATAGTCCCAAATGAGTTAGGAAATGTAATTTGAGCTCCCTGTATGTCATGAGGTCAAAGGCTATTCACTTTGGCTTTGAGCAGGTGATTTGACTATCAGCGTCAGTAAAATAAAGGTCAGTCAGTGTTTAAAGTACGGAATAATTTTTCCAAGATTGTAGAGATGAAATCCAAATTTTCACGTATTGGTCTGAGGTTGCAATGCAGATGTGTTTAAAGGGTTAACATTGTGGCTCAATCAGAAAGAATGCTTGGCAATAAGAGGAAGCCTGGATTAATGATAGAAAAGAATTCTTAGCATTTTATAGCAGTGGGTATTCGAGATGAGACATGGCTAATGATCAACTAAAAAGGTATTTGCAGCTGTGGTGCTACCTCTCCCCATAATGCCAACATTAATCAAGCTTTTTCATGCAGCTTTGCAGTCCATTCTATTTTTCATTGTCCTGAATATAAAAACAGAGCTCATGCCCTAATACACTGAGTCAGAGACCATACTTCTGTGTCACCGAAAATGATCAGACCTTATTGATTTCTAAAAGCTGCACTTTCTGTAGTGTGAAACAAACCCATAGCAAAGTCTTTAACAAGGCCAGTTTCATTTTAAAGGAAAAAAAAACTCTTGCAACCCCAAGCTGTAAATACCTCTGGGACATGAAACACTTATTGCCATGAATTAACTGCTCATATATTTTATTTAAGTCTTGAATTACAACAAAACATCAGCTGTAATTACAGCATCTCTAAGTCTAGTTTTGGAGTCAGCCATCTTGTTGAAAGACCTTGGCAGTGCAAAAAGCCAGTGAAATCGTGTAAGTCAATGTCCTAGCTGTTCTGATGCTGCCTTCAGAGTCAGAAGAAAAGCTTCATTATAGTGAAAAATTAAACATTTGACATACAAGTTATTTCCAGAATGGCTTCAAGCTTTTTAAATAATGAACCCCATTGAATATCAACTTCTCAGCAAATGTTGATTATCTAAATTCCTTAAGTAAACTACACATGATGCAGCTTTTGAAACATGATCTTCCCTCATGTAAACAATCCTCTGCCTTTGTTGCCTGATGCTATCACATTTGGGTGCACATCCTTGTGGATTGCAGGCCCAAGCCTATAAAATCTTGCTATCGAATATCCACCCCAATCTGCAGATGCTTTATGCCTCTGCTTAACAGCCATGACTCATCCCATTAAAGTCAACAAAGTTACAGTAGTAAAGTTAAGCGTGTGTTTGCAGGAATAGGCCCAAATTCTCAGAAGTATTTAGGTAACTCAAGATGCAGAGAGATGACTAGTGGGGGAATTTCATACTGGTGTGACTAATCTCCCTAAGATCTCCTAAAATCAAGAGAGAGACCGGGGCAGGGGGGGGTCTTGCAAAGGGGTTTCAGGACAACTAAATTAGGCTCCTGTTTTGGAGCATCTTCCAAAGAAGTCTCCAGCTCTCCCTGTCCTTTAAAAGGTGCTTTGAGTGCTCTGTCCTGGACACCCAGCTCCCGCAGAAATCGGCAGGAGCCAGACCTCAAGGTGCTCAGCCACCTCTTGCAGGGAGCTTGTCTGCAGCCATAGCCGCCTCACCAGCTCTGGGAATCGAGCGCCGTGTACTTGGGGTTGTTCCGTAGTGCTGCTCACAGCGACGACCTGTGCCTTGCCATAGCTTTGCACTCTAATGGCCCCATGTGCATCAAGGCCAGATACTGTTGACACAGGGTAAAGTCTACTTTTCAAACCAAAGGACCGAAGTGAAAATAAATGGAAATATCTTCGACTTTTGAAGGCCTGGAGTTTTAAGATTCTTTTAAATAGACGATGTAAATAAAATTCTTCTTTCTTAAATGTACAGGGCTGACTAAATGACCCATCTTCATTTTTTATGGTTGATTTATAAATACCTGAAATTAAAGGACTAGAAAACATGCAATAACTCCTTCATATTTTAATAAATACGATGTATTTTGAGGATCCTCCAACAGCCATAATTTTGCTGTGTTAAATAAAGTAGATTTTATAGCGCTTTAATCAGATCATGATGGAACATTATGCAAAATATTATGCAATGTAATGCAAAGTAATTAATGCAAGCAGAGAAGTGGTAGGAATGTGAGACCGCTGAGCAGCATGCATTTGTGTCACACACTGCCTGCTGATTTTCCCAATTTCTTTCTTTCTTAGATAGTGGTTTCCCGTTCAGAACTCACAGCTCCACATGTCAGCTTTCAGCTAGACTCCCACCCCGTCTCTCCCCAAGTTGTTGTCGAGAATTCATTAGCAGATGATGGCTATACCCTGGTAGTGACTGGGAAAAAGGTGAGTGGTTCATAATCTGCTCCTTCTGTGCACTGTGTAAACCTGCTTCAGAGCAGCAACTTTCAGTAAGAGCAACTATTCACACTGCTGTTTTATGCTCTGCATCCTCCCAGCCTTGCCATTCCCTTGGGAACATTGGAGGGGCAAGTTTCCTCCAAGATTTCCCCACACACACACTAAACAAACCGACAGCCTAATATTGAGAAATGTTTAAATAATGTAAGAGCTGTGATATAAACCAACAAAAGCCAGGAAATGCAAATTTTAAGGCTGAAACCCTGTCCTTAATTCAAGTGTTTGCAAAGAAAAAACACACAATGGCTTAAGAAAAGAATGGTGCTCACAGTTTCCTGGCTTTTGTTGGTTTCTGTCATAACATTATAACTTTCTAAGGAGGGTTGTGTGTGCAAGAGTTACATGGGTGTGTTTAAAATTGGGAGTCAGTGTTCACAATAAGGCTTGAAAATTAGTTTAGCATGTAGTCTACAAAGGGTTAATAAAAGATGAAGAGCAGTCATAAATATGCTGTTGTCATAAGTAGATATGCATTGTAGAATAGGTTTAAAACATCAGCAGATAATATTACAGATAATCCTAAAGCATAATCGTAAGCAATAATTTGACCCTTTGATTCCGTAAGAATTTACAGAAATACATCAGCATTTAGTAAAGATGGTTATTAATCATTTACTAGAAATGTATGAGGTATTTATACGAGTAATCTTCAAGAAAATGTCCAAAATAAGTTTAAGAAAGGTACTGAAGTGTAAAGAAGTATGATGTACTTATATAGTAATGTAATTATATACTAATTTTAATATTTTGACGGAAAATAATTCTTATATATTTAGAGTGACTATTACCATAACTATCCTGATATTTTGAACAATATAAATTTTAATTCATGTTTTACTTATACTATAGGTTTTTGATGATAGATGTTAAAAAACAAGTACTTGGGCCGTCACATGCTGTAAGTGTGTCACAGATACTAATACAGCCTCGCCAAAGTTGAAATAGCCATCATGCCTATTTCTACAAACGTATGAACTAAGACATACTGAGATACACTGTTTTTTCCAAGAACTAGTGCAGAATTGGGAGGAGCGCACTGCTGTTTTCTTTTTCCATCAGCAAAAAATGCTATCTTGCTGTAAACACCAGATGCTGGTAGTAACTGTATATAACATTAAGATGCCTTTAGGGTTTCTCCCAAGCGAATTTAAAATCATGTCAGTTAAATTACTTATAAGATCCTATAATTACTGAGCTAAAGAGAAGCCGAACCGCGGCTTGCACGTCTGAAACCTGAGTAGCACCAGAGCGCGTTGCATAAATAGAGACTCTCCTTGCCGCTTACTGTATGTATTAAAAGGGTCTTTCCGTCGACAGATAACGAGGATCCCGCTGAAGGGGCCGGGCTGCCATCACTTCAGGTCCTGCAGCCGGTGCCTGCTGGCCCCTCCTTTCATGGAGTGCGGCTGGTGCAGCCAGCAGTGCCTCAGGTCTCCCGAGTGCCCCGGCGGCACCTGGACCCAGGAGACCTGCTTGCCTAGGGTTTATGAGGTAAAACAGTGGATTTCTCCTATTTATCTCTGAGGGAAGAGTGCCGTCTGCGCTCTGCGGACGTTTTCTGTTTATTTGTACGCAGTTATGATAAATGAAGCGTCTGCTCTCCTCGACTTCCCCTCGGCCTCAGTGTCCATAAAGCCTCTGGCTGGATGCACGTACTCTCCCCGAAGGCCGCGGGCTGAGGCGCTGACGGTGGACGGGTCCGGCTGCTCACCTCTCCTCTCAACGGGAGAGCCTCGGCCCTGCAGAGCACCCGTGGGGGGGAAACAACAGGGGTCTGAGCCAGCCCGGCAGGCGTCTGGCGGGAAAGGCCGGTCACAAAAGGGAGCACCCTTCCTCTCCGGCCCCTCTCGAAGCGGGGAGATGGAGGAAAGCACTTCCCGCCCACAGCCGCCACAGCCTGACCCGGCGCAGGAGGCCCCCGGCCCCCGCTCCTCAAAAGTCCCTCTCTTCCCTACCTAAGCTCTGTGACAGAGCTGTCAACCAAAACGCCACCCCGGGGGAGATGTTTTTTCCCCCGATATCCCCCCAGCCAGCTCCTTGTTCCCATGGGCCCACTCGCCCAGCCGGTAGCTGCACCCTTCCCCGGGGCAGGGGACAGCCAGAGGCCGCTGCCAGCCGGCCAGAGACCATCAGGGGTGTGCGAGAACGAAAACCGCACGGAGGAGGAGAGAGCCGCGCCGGCGCGTTCCTGTTTTAATTTAGCTATGGTTAACGCAGGGTTCGTACTGGCCGGCTGTAGGTGTAACTGGATCGTCCCGTGTGAAGTGTGACATGGCTGTGAAGGCGGAGGTTTATAGGGCAGTTAACGGACTAGAAAACTGAGGGAAGGACAAGCATAAAACTTTCTGGTAGCGCCTATACCCACTTGCTTTTGTTAGTGCATTTAAACTACGCCATGTAGTTAAAAAAACATTTTCCTTTATGGGCATGCAGCCCATAAACGACATGAAAATTCGACATGCTAAACTCTCAGAGAGAAAGGGAGACAAAAGGGGTTTTTAATTAAACACTATGTTTCTTTCAACCGGGCAGACGATTTCATGTGCAACAACTTTTTAAATGGCACACAGGCAAAACTGCTAATAATCTAGAAACAAATCTAGAAACACATGTTTACAGTGGGGTTTTTTTCTTTTCCATCTTCACCTTTCTGATACAAAATTTAGGACTAACACAGGCAAAATTCAATGAACAAACAATGAAGCATTATAGGAATCAAAACCAAAATGGATGGAAAGGGGGGGGGGGGGGGGGGGGGGGGGGTCGTTGGG